AAAAAAAAAAAAAACAGCATAAATTTAGACTTGTTGCTTGAATTTTTTGATGATCACCTGACTATGCAAAACACTTGTGGTTTGGTTTACTGTTAGCAGACAACTTAAAATCGTGACAAAAAAAAAAATCTTTTTTTTTTCACAGTTTATTGACAAAATGAAAACAGTAACGGTGGGGGTTATTGATATTGTTGAACTAAAACCGTTATCCATCGATACTGTCGTTGCGGTCGGCAGTTCAATGATTTTCGACATTTACTGCCTGCGATAAGTAGAATAAATTGAAAAGTAGGAAGACTAGAAAAAAAAATTAACTGCTTAATTTCTTTAGAATTTTTTTGCTTTTTGATTAATATTATGTTTTTATGTCTATTTTTTTTTTGGTACAATTTTATTTTTTTCAATCTTTTTTCCTTGAACTAAATTCTTTTGTTACTTTGCCGATACAGTTCTGTTTTAGCTGTGTTAAAATTAGCCGCACAAAGCAACAGTTAGATTTTGGAGTGCAAAAATAACACAGTCTGCTGTATTTGAAAAAATTTTCTACTTATACTACTGGTTTTTTCTCACTTTATTAATATATGTTTTATTTTTTATCTCAAAAACTGAGTTAAATTAAATTTAGGAACACAACAAGAAATTTTGTAATTTGAGAACAAAGATTATTGAAGTATTATGGGTTTGCTGCACTAACTAGTCTTTAGCTTTCTTAATCCAGTTTTCAACAAATTCTCAGCAATCAAGAAATGTTTGCATAGATGGGAATGCAGTATACCAAATCTCAAAAATACCATTAAAATAATTGACAAAATCTACATTGGAAAAATAAATTAAAAAAAAAAAAGTTCTTGTTTATCATTCAACAAACACCTAAAAACCATATACTTTTTATTATGGTTTTAGAAAAGTTAAAGTTGTAAAACTGTTCCCAAAAGTGGTAAGATTCTAGAACCAACCCAGAATGTATTCATCTTCTGCTATAAACCATTATCTGTTGCCTCAAAAATAGAAAAAAAAAACCAGGTTGTAGATGTTCTAAAAAAAGAAAGCTCTTTATTGTTTTTTTTCAGTTAGTAACCATTATCAATAGATTTTGTTGCACAGAGAATGAACAACTGAAATTTGCAGTTCCATATTTGAAATTGTTAAAAAAATACTAATACTTTTATTGTTCAAATCGCTGCTGAACAAAATTGTAATTTATGGTATACATAGAATTTTATGTCACATAAAATTACTTGAAAACATCCAGAAGAACTTACAGTCTTTTTATTTTTTGTTTTGAAATAAGCAGATGCATACCTTTATATTGACAGTGAAAAATAACAGAAAAATTACCGAGTCAGAAAAAAAGTTTCAATAACAGAAAAATTACCGAGTATTTACAAGAATTGTCAATAGATTTTAGACAGATATTGATGTTTGACATAAATTATGAAGCAATAAAAACCTAAAAAATTTACGTCAGATTATTATGTTTATGTTTGGAAACAACACAATTTTTAAAACATTACTGTTTATAGTGGTTTAGTAAGAAAAAAAAAAACAAAAAAAAAAGTTTCAACTTTTTTTTCGCTTTTTTTTTAATTCGCCTATAAATTGTTTCATTTCAAAATAAAAGTATTTTCTGTCTTAGGCGTGGATACATACAAATGTATATCTTTGTTTTCCTTCCTTTACTCTGATTACATTTTCTTCACTGATACCAATTCTAAGACTGGTAAAAATGAAATAGAAAATGCCTATTTTTCTCCTCTTTTTTTTTGTGTTACAAATTCAATGGCTTTTTACTTTTAGTATTAGTAAACTGCAGGAGAAAAAAAAGGTTTTGTGTAATAATGTACAAAAAAAAAAAGCCATGTTTTTTTACTTGTTACTGTTGTTGTTATTTTATTTAGTTTCAATTTTACAAAACATATGATGATGACGACGCTTCTGCTGCTGCTGCTGTTGATGGTGTAAGAAAAGACAGTTAAGATTATACTTGATATTTGAAAAAAAAAAATTTTTTTTTAACTTTGAAGCAAAAAAAAAAAAGTAAACAAACAAACAGTATACGAGGTTTTTTTTCTGCTATTTTTATTGTCATTCAGTTTCAAATTGATAAATAGGTGTTTATTTGTAAATACAACATACATCTCTATGGAATGTTTGATGTTGTTGTTGTTGTTGGTGGTGGTGGTGGTGGTGGAGGTGGTAATGGTGCTTCTGATGTTGTTGATTTTGGTGGTACTGTTGCTGCTGATATTCCTGAAGTTAACGTCTGATGGTTACTTCAACTGTTGCCTAATAATTTTTCAATCTTTTTTTTTTTCCCTCTTTCGTTGTTCTTTTCTCTTGTTTTATTTTTCTAAAGTAAATATGTTGTCTGGATAAGACTGCTGTCTTCTCTACAAAGACAGAAACAGTGGTTCTGTCCTCTTACACTATTCGACGTCTACAGAAGACGGTAGTCTGTTGATGGGTGCAGTTCGATTGAAACTCTCTGGAAACTGTTCAGTAAAGCCGCGTTGACAGTATGTTAGGGGTTAGAAGTAAAGTGATAGTTGTTATTGGGATGGCGATAGTAATCTTTTATAATTCTCATAAACAGATGCTTTAAAAATTTTAGTAAACTGACAAATTCAGTAACTTGAGAAGTGATAACCATACCAAAAAAAAAA